CTCGGTTGAGCTGATTGAATATTTCAAGTTCGAACGTTGCAGGGGCGAAAACGTGGCGGCAAGACGCGAGAGACGGATATTAAGCCGATAATCTGCCGACAATGTCCTTCAAGTCCTTCGTGGTCCTTTCCAGCTTCGCTTATCCTGCTTGTCTTTGCCTCAGGCGTCAATAACCATCCCGTACAGGTCCGTCCTTTTTGCTCTCCCTACGCCCTGCTCAGATCAATCAATCACAAACGGGCAAGATATGGCAGGGGGAGCATACCATGCCCTGATCCGAACCCACCATATCACCTCCAGGAAGAAGATTGCCCGGCTCAAAGCTGCTGCAAAACAGTACCAATGCTACGCCCTACTTCGATCAGGGGGCATTCCTGGCGTCATGTATGTTCGCGGCAGCGAGCGATCGAATGTCCGGAAATGGGTTGATACGGTCCATGACCTGAGGTATAAAGACTACCAGCTAGCAGCACCGGTTCATGCTATTTTATCCGAGTTTGACGGGGATGGTCCCCAGCAAGAGGATGCAAAAGTGGGTTGTTTGGAAGAAGTCGCGACGGTCAAGGAAATGGCCACCCATATGGAGGCGAGGGGGCTTCAGAGTTGGTGGCGCATCGCCATGGGCTTCATACAGGAATAGAAACACGAGTCATCTATAGCAGGCTGCAGCAAGCCTTGATTCACCCCTGACCGTCGTCGCGCTATGCAATCCACGGAAGCCCAGCCACCCGATGATATCTTACAATTTCTGGTATTCCAACTTGCCCTCAAGTTTCTTCGCCTCCGCCACTTTCCTCACCGCCTTGTTGAAGTCGTCCTGGTTGACCGCATCTCTGTAATCCTTGATGGCGAACAAGCCGGCTTCGGTAACGACGTTTCGCAAGTCGGCGCCGTTGAGACCGTCGCTCATCTTGACCACACTTTCAAAGTCAATGTTGCCTTCCGTCACCACTCCAGCAGCATGAATCTTCAGAATCTCCAAACGGCCAACCTCATTAGGCAGCGGAATCTCAATCTTTCGGTCCAACCTTCCTGCTCGCAACAATGCAGGATCCAGGGTGTCGGGTCGGTTGGTGGCCATGATGATCTTGGTCTTTCCTAGGTAGTCAAAACCATCGAGCTGGTTCAGAAGCTCCATCAACGTCCTCTGAATTTCTCGGTCGGCAGATGTTCCTTCGCTGAAACGTCTCCCGCCAATAGCATCGATTTCATCCATGAAGATGATACAAGGCTCATGTTCTTTCGCGTAGCCGAACATCTCGCGGATCAGCCTCGCGGACTCGCCGATGTATTTGTCAACAATCGCAGACGACACAACTGGAGTGAGGTCAGCATCGATCCTGGGAGCCACTGACGATCGAGGAACTCACCTTTCAAGAAATTTGTGTCCAGACTGCTCGCCACTGCTCTTGCCAACAACGTCTTCCCTGTTCCCGGGGGCCCATAGAGCAACACGCCTTTGGGAGGCTTGATACCAACCCGGAGAAACAACTCGGGATTCTTGAGGGGCAGCTCGATCACCTCCCGCAGCTCTCGGATTTGGTCGTTCAACCCACCAATTCCGGCGAAAGAAACTTGACCAGGATCTTCTAAAGACATGTTGTAGACCAAGGGGTCGACTTCTCTAGGAAGCATTCTCATGATGGTCAGGGTGGTCATGTCGAGCGCCACTCGCGTGCCTTGTTTCAGTTTGGACTTGTCGACTTTGGATCGGCAGCCGACGACGTATCTTGGGCCGGAGGATGCCTTGACAATGACTAGACTATGTTAACAGTTTTCCAAAACAAGATAGATCCGGCAAACAAACATCGCTCCTCGTCAAGTTGCTTCAGAACTTCGCCGATGATTTGTCCGACGCTCTGTAATGCCTTGATGTTCTCCTCTGTTGTTTCAAACTCCTTTTGGAGGCCCTTGATATCCATTCGGAGGGCTTTTAACTTGGCCTCCCATTCTCTGGAATCTAGTAATTTCTGTTTATAGAGTTCAAGGGCCAGCTGCCGCTCTGGATCACCGCTCCCATCCATGTTGGCTGGTTGGAAGAATTTCAGATGAGATACCCGGCAGTTGCGAATCTGTTGGGAGTGATCGTGTGGGAGCTCGATGGTCGAGGAGCGAGGGCGTAGTAATCCGTGTCTCAAAGACTGGAGATGTTGTTGCCGATTGTCGAGATGATTTCGGAATCAGTAATTGTCTGAGAGTTCCAGAAACCGTGAAGCTTGCGCGCTGCAGGTACCAATAGCACTACGCGGCAAGGGTGCAGTCAGGGCTGGGCCAAGGCGGGAAGGTCTTCCGAATAAGATCACGTGTGAATGGCAGGGTGGGCACCTAAAGGAGCACCGTAATAATCCAAGCCTAAACGATGGTGACGAGAGCCCTTAGGACGGGCCACTAGGCTGGCGAGCTGGCGAGCTGGGTAGCGGGCAAGGCGGGTTGGGTGCGGGAGGACCCCTGGCCGATCCACAATCGGTGGCCGTCGATGGGCACTTGGTTAAACCACAGCTTTGGAGGGGCTCAATCAGGTTCCCCGCTCTGCATCGCTGCTGAAGAAGAAATGCTGAGTTGAAGTTTTGTAGCGATCAGCATCCTCAATCGCTCCTGCCCATACCCCACCGAAAAACAATAAAAAGTTTCACTGCTCTTGATATCTTTCCTTTAATCCTTTCGCATCATCCTCTTCTCTTCCGTCACTCCGTTAACAAGAAAAACTTTGTACACCTCCTTCCCCTTCAGGTTCATCACTAAGCAGTCGTTCACTGACTCAACACTTCTATCACACCACTGAAAACACCAAGTATGTACCTTGCTCGAGCTCTCCTCAGCCCTCTTCATGAAGCTCCCCTGTCCACTTCGCTGTCGCCATCAATAGCTCCCTTTACTCCCTGACTTGACTTCAGCGGCTCTGGCCCTTGGTTGTGAACTCGTCTTTGCCATTGTTCCGATATCTTCCATTCACTGACCCACCAACAGCCATGCCTATCGTCAAGGTGCACGCCCGCTCCGTCTACGACTCCCGGGGTAACCCGACAGTCGAGGTTGATGTCGTAACTGAGACCGGTCTGCACCGCGCTATTGTTCCTTCTGGCGCCTCCACCGGCCAGCACGAAGCCTGCGAGCTCCGAGATGGTGACAAGACACACTGGGGAGGGAAGGGTGTTCTGAAGGCTGTCAACAACGTGAACACCATCATCGGACCAAAGTTAATTGAGAAGAATATCGATTGCACAGATCAGTCCTCTGTTGACAAGTTCCTGATCGAGCTTGATGGAACAGAAAACAAGACCAACCTCGGTGCCAATGCTATTCTGGGCGTCAGTCTTGCAGTAGCCAAAGCTGGTGCGGCTCAGAAAGGTGTCCCTCTCTACGCACATGTCTCCGACCTGGCAGGCACAAAGAAGCCATACGTGCTCCCTGTCCCATTCATGAATGTCCTCAACGGAGGTTCGCATGCCGGTGGTCGTCTCGCCTTCCAAGAATTCATGATTGTCCCCGAGTATGTGGCCTATAGGTTAAACGCTTCAAGCTGAGCTAATACCACACACAGCCAAGCACCATCGTTCAGCGAAGGTCTCCGATGGGGTGCTGAGGTCTACCAGAAGCTGAAGGCGCTGGCAAAGAAGAAGTACGGCCAATCCGCCGGCAATGTCGGTGACGAGGGTGGTGTTGCTCCAGATATTCAAACCGCCGAAGAGGCTTTGGACCTGATCTCCGCAGCAATTGAGGAAGCTGGTTACAAGGGCAAGATGAACATCGCCATGGATGTCGCCTCCAGCGAGTTCTACAAGGAGAAGGAGAACAAGTATGATCTTGACTTCAAGAACCCCGACAGCGACCCAAGCAAGTGGATCACCTATGAGCAACTGGCCGACATGTACAAATCTCTAGCGAGCAAGTATCCAATTGTCTCAATCGAGGATCCCTTTGCTGAGGACGATTGGGAGGCATGGAGCTATTTCTTCAAGACGTCCAACTTCCAGATTGTCGGGTAAGTCCTCGCGTCTGATGGCAGAGAATGCCACGATTGCTGACCAGACTTAGTGACGACTTGACCGTGACGAATCCCAAGCGCATTAAGAGAGCCATTGAGTCAAAAGCTTGCAACGCTCTGTTGCTGAAGGTCAACCAAATTGGCACGCTTACCGAATCCATCCAAGCCGCTAAAGACTCCTATGCTGCTGGTTGGGGAGTGATGGTTTCTCACCGTTCTGGGGAGACTGAGGACGTTACCATTGCTGACATAGTGGTCGGCATTCGAGCTGGTGAGATCAAGACTGGCGCGCCAGCACGATCTGAACGTCTCGCCAAGCTCAACCAGATCTTGCGCATCGAGGAGGAGTTGGGATCCAACGCTATCTACGCTGGCACCAACTTCCGCAAATCTGTCACCTTGTAAGCGGTAGGATTTCCAGGACAATGAAATATCAAGCCGCGGGGAAAGGGGGCAGGGGAAACGAGGACGCCAGACATCCACACTTCGGATAGCCTGAGGCAGGGTTATGTGCGTTTAATGCACTTTACGGGAATAAAGAACGAATTATGCAACTTCACTGCTCGTATAAGTCGGACAGAGGCGGTTTTCACCACAGCGTGTAGGGATGGTGATGCAATTGGGATAGTTCAGCCCTGTCAGCGTGGCTGGAGACATTCTAAGACATTCCCACTGAGCACATGTCACTCCAAATTTCCCGGCAACAGCCGGCGCTTTCGGTAATTTAAAATGCTCTCTACAGTCACGTGTATATCCTACTCGGCCTACTCCAGCTCGTCAGTATCTCCTCAGAAGTCTTGGCATTTTTGTCGTTCGCAACCCGAATTTTTGTTCGATCGACTCTTTATCGTCACAACCTTAGAATCGAAACCTTATATCCTATTCAATTTACCGTACTCTCCTTCGCTTTGCGTGGACCCAACACATCGCCCATATCGTGACTATTACCTTTGGTGCGACACAATTTGATCAATAACAAGGCGAAAACCCTAGGCTTTTTACGCTCAACCGCACTATGCCTCCTTCAAAGTGGGGTGAGTCGCATTCTTGCAAGTTACGGGGAGGGAAATTTACTTTCCCTTCCCCTAATTTCTGAAATACCGACAACATTTTGTTAATCCTGCTATCTGGACAGATGATGAGTCCGAAGAGTCTTCTGAGGAAGAGTCGGTAGACGTTCCTGTTGCGCGACGCAAGTTTGCCGACGAAGAAGATTCCGATGAAGTACGTTGGCCTGCTGTTCGGACCGATCAACAGAAAGGCTGATGAATACTAGGTAGCTGATAACTGGGAGGAAGAGGAAGACTCTGAAGCGGAGCGAGAGAAGGTTGCCAGAGCGGCCGCAGCCAAAGCCAAAGCCGACGCAGAAGCCGCAGCCAAGAAGAAGACCAAGTCTCAGCGGATAGAAGAACACCGGGAAGCAAACCGACGGAAACGAGCTGAGGAAGAAGAAGAAGATGAGGAAGAGAGTTCAGAGGAAGATGAAGCAACTAGGCGTGCCAGACTACGGAAGTCAGAACAAGACTCCGACCTCAAACACGCACAAGATCTGTTTGCCGATGCTGCGCTGGAACCCAAGTCGCGTGCTGCACCGAACAAGGCGGTGATAATAGAAGACAAAGCAAACCCGGGTCAGACAATCGATCTGTCACAACTGCCTCTATTCAAGCCTGCCACCAAGTCACAGTTCGACGCCCTTTCGACAACTCTGGTACCTCTGCTGACGGCCGCTTCTTCAAAACCGCACTATGCCATCTGGCTCCCAACCTTCGTGAAGCAAATATGCGCCGACCTACCAAGTGCAGAGATTAAGAAGGCAGCGAGTGCGCTGACGGCTCTGAGTAACGAGAAGATGAAGGAGGAGAAGGCGCAAGAGAAGGGTGGCAAAAAGTCAAAGGCAGCTAAGACCAAATCGACTCTTGCAGCAACCCGAGACATGGGCAGAGGGATAGCGGACGTGACTAGCTACGATGACGGCCTTGGGGACGATGACTTTATGTGATTGACTTCTTGATGCATTCCTTTTTTCTATTCTTAACCTCTTTTCGGGACATTGCATAAGACGTGCGAAGTCAAGCCACATCTTTTATGAGAAATGAAAAGGATGTGCGAGAGACAGGCGGCCTTAGATTATGAATTTATCAGAGTTTTCTTGATACAAATGACAGCATCATTATGGCACATTGATCAGTATATGACGCCCCGATGAAATTTCGAATTGAGTATTGCTTTAGAGGCTTGAACCAGTAATGACGGGTTGCCATCGGATGCATTAGAGATCTAACCCCGTCGACCCCGTCTTGGGCGCTCCTTTGACTACAAAGTATTCTGCCCAAATATTATCCAATTCCATTCTTGGGGGTTTCCATATCCATCAATTTGATCGACTTGCAGACCTTTTCTTAACTGACCTTCTCTCCTCTGGATCTCCAAAATCACAAATCCTCTGGTACATTCTTCGTATCACCATACGACTTGTGGAGCGAACCAACATTGATAACTTCGCTTTCAGACCCCGTCCCTGCCGGCAATGCACTTTGGGAGCCATTTTCTGTTAAAGACCTGAGACTGATTGGTGCTTCTACTATGGCGGCGGAAGAGGACTGCGTCCTTGATAGGGAGCGCCACATCAAGTATTGGAAACGGTGCGCGCAGGTCCTGCCCGAACCCTACACATCTGGTGAAGCCAGCCGAATGAGTTTCGGCTTCTTTATTGTCGCCGCGTTGGATCTGCTGGGAGCACTTGACACTGTCATCACGCCGTCCGAGAAGCAAGGCTGGATTGAATGGATCTACGCCTGTCAGGTCCCTCACACAGGCGGCTTCCGAGGTTTCACAGGGACAATGCTAGGCGGCCAAAGAAGTTACCACAACTGGCACTGGGATCCGGCCAATCTGCCAAATACCTACTTTGCACTGGTTACATTGGTGATTTTGGGAGACGACCTTTCCAGAGTTAAGCGGAGAGAATGCCTTTCCTGGGTGACAGGATTGCAAAGGCCGAATGGTAGTTTCGGGGAGTTTCTGGGAGAGAACGATGTGGTGGAAGGGGCAGACGATCCACGACACTTCATGTGCGCCGTAGGAATCATGAAAATATTGCAAGGAAACGGGGAGCATGCAGAAATGCCGGGCTTCGACGAAGCAGGCTTGCAGAGGTATATTGCCAACTGCCAGGTGAGGATTCAATAGTCTGCTAAATGGCGACCAGGGCTGACGTCTATTCGAGTCTCACGAGGGTGGAATCGGCCAAGCTCCTCTTCTTGAAGCTCATTGTAATATCCCTGCCTGTCTAATTACCTATTATCTTTGCTGAGATCTCTGCTAGCCGGGCTGAACTATTGTGGCATCGCGACACTCTCATTTCTCGCCTTGCTTCAGAAACCCGCTGTGTCCGTGCAAGAGATGGCGGAACGAGCCAACGTCGACACCTCCATCTGTACCCGATGGATGCTGGATCGACAAACAACCTGGATAGAAGAGAACGAGGACGAAGATGAGGACGAAGACAATCAACATGGGGAGCGGGCCGATATTGAGACCAAGCAAGAAGCAGCACAATCATTGTCGCCCGACGTGTCCAAAATGCAGATCGGCTTAGTCGCGCAGAAGGCAATTGCTGGATTTTGCGGCCGCTGTGGGAAGATTGCAGACACCTGTTACTGCTTCTGGAATGTGGGAGCTCTCGCCGTCAGTATGCCCAAATGATACATCCTGACCTACTTCGCTGATGACCCAGCAGATCCTGCAACAGCATCATCTAGTTGATGTCGACTCACTAAGGAGATATCTCCTGGGGAAGGTCACCCACATTATCGGAGGATTTGCGAAAGGCCCTGGTGAACTGCCGGGTTAGTGGTCACCACCTCTTACAGAAAAGCATCCTGCTGCTAATTGTCCCTCCAGATCTTCTGCACTCATACCTGGGGCTCGCAACGCTGGCAATATACAACGAGCCCGGACTGAAGGAGCTGGATCCCACATTTTGTATCAGCAAAGACGCTGTAGAAAGATTGACGAAGGTAGCAGGGGGGCGAAACTAATATTTATACGGAGTACGGCTTCGGCTTCTGCTCGTACATACCTACAAGTACCGGTTAGGTAAAGCAGCTCCCGTGAGGCGGAGCAGGCCTCAACCGACCAACTGAGGTCAATTTCGTATTCAACCGTCAATTTTGGCTCCGCCTGGCCCGGGGTATGGCCTAGGTAGTGGCCACACGTGGCCCTAGTCATTAGCATGGCCGAGGGATGCATATGGGTGTCTCTGCCTCGCCTTCGTCTCCCTTCCTCCCTATATCCAGCTATGTGTACAGAACATTGTTGTCAATCCAGGAAAGTAGCCCTTCTCCCCCAGCCGCAACAGAATGTAACTCCCGCGTTTCGAAACGTTCGCGTTTCAAAAGCGCAGCAGTGCAGGGCTTGTTGCTCGACGCTCCGCCTCTGTCTCTCTTGGATCTAGCCGTAAAGGTGGGTGTCAAAGCGATCAGGAGGCTGGAGCAAGGGGTCGTGGGGATGGGCAAGGATAGACTCTGGCCACTCGCAACAACGATCAGTGCCCGTCACGTCAGCCACAGTACAGATTCACCTTGAGAATTACCCAAGAGGTGATAAGCACTAGCTATTCTTAGGTGAATCCTTACCAAGACTGTCGTTTGCGTTAACGGAATCTAGGCTCTCCCCAGGCACGGCTGCAGCTTGTCTTGGGCTGAGCCGTTCAAATTCGGATGATCCCCTTCTCTGGCCTCGTTGTGAGATTAGAGCAGCAACGGGAAAACCAGGTTATTGTTTACCTTTTTACTATTAAATCCTTCGAGTTTTCACGCATCTCCAAGGATCTGGATTGACAGCAACCGAACAAGCGAGAAACAAGTCCCATCCAGCCAACTGACCGCCGTTACCATGCCGAAACGCACGCTTTTCACCAACATTACCCCTCTTCCTCCCCAGGTCTCGCGCGAGGTGGCGATTGCCATGCTTCACAACCACGATGAAATGATAGAGCTGAACCCGCTAGTCATCGAACATCACCCGATCAAAACTCCCAGAGATGCTCCGGCCGACGAATTCTTAGACTGCGCCTGGCAAGAGCTGACGGACAAGATCCATTACCTGCCTGGAGGCATCGTCAAGGGGAAAGTCAGCTACAAGGCTTGCTTTCATGACACTCCATATGGGCTCCAGACACACATCTATGCTCCCATGGGGCTGGATATCCGGGAAAAATGGTCGATCGGAGGGTCTCTACCTGGGGAGCCTCCGGAGCCGCGAGAACTTGGTGTGGATGTTCCACGAACGGGCCTTTACCTCCGCGAAGATGGGGACATGAGGTGCAACATGTTGTTGACTTCATTTGTTCGCAAGAACCTCGACAACTCACATAAAGTCCTGGTTGAGCGTATTCTCAAAAAGGCCGAGCGCGTTGAGGAACAAGTCCAGACCCTGGGGGGGCCCATGACCCCTGTTCCTGAAACTCCTCGATTCCAATCCGGCTCTCACATGTCGAATTCGCAAATCCTCAATACACCCGCCATCTACCAAAGACCCCTCTCTCCTCAGATGCTGTCGCCGCAGCAAGACTTGGGTTGGCAGACAATGGCGCTTCACCCGGCATTCCGGCCCGACGACAAGCGAATGAGCACCTACAGTCTACCTCCCTATCAAGCGAATGCCCAACAACAACGGATGAGTTATTACGCGCCGCTGAAGCAACCCGATCCGCCCAAACAATTCCTGGCCGAGCTGCCTGGTTCGACGTATCACACAGGCCACCTTGCCCCACCTGCCCGCGATACTCCTCCTTTGGATCACCGAATGAGCATGGTGTCTGAACTGTCCGGGTCTGAAGGGACGCTCATGGGCTCACCAAATCTGCAGGCTCAATCCGACCAGGGTAGCCTCGTGGCCGAGAATTTTCAGGTCCGGAGGCTGAGTGCAAAAGACTTCTCGCAGGACGGTGACCCATCGATTGCGTCGGGTGCATCAGGACATCGCAGTGGTTCGGACCGGACAAGCGTCATCTCTGAATTACCCTCATCACTGTATACGGAGAACAGGTATTACCAGGCTCCAAGGTCTTGAAGTCAAGACCGTGCTGGACGACGACGATCATGATAACGATCTTGTTTTGTTTTGGAACATTAAGATGCACGTGTATAATGTATAGAAACCCAAAGTGTTTTGTTATTGAGCTTGGAGTTGTGGATAATACCATGAGATCTTGGAGATATCAGAACCATCTCGGTGGAAACGGAGATTCAACTGGCAAGTTGAACATTATTAAAAGTGCCATTTACTACATTTCCTATATCGTATTCTCACTTCCCTTCCATCCATACCTGGCTTGCTGGGTAGGAGTTTCAACATTGTGACACACGTGCAATGTAAGAGATGTCGGGATCGAGTGCTCGGTATGTGTTCGAGGAGCCACTGCGGTGGGCATGTATCCACGGAATCCGATTGCATGAATAGCCAATACACCTGTAGATCATTGGTGCGCAACGGCCTGAGTGGAGACCAGGACTTTGTAGAGGTTTCTAAAGATATAGGGATTAGCACATCGACCAGATCCAAGGTGCCCAACTCGTCCTCCTATGTGTATGCATGCTGCTGGAAGAAAGACGGAGTAAGGTAAGTCAGGGTGAGGGTCCAGGGATACACGGCGATCAGCCCTCCACACTGCGCACCAAACCCGGCGCAGCCTCTCACTCCCTCCCGCCTTTTCCCACCGAGCACACTAGCACCTCCAGCACCTCCACACAACCCTGAACAAACTCAATGTTTGCGGCCGCTGGCAATTGGTCTCGAGATCCCAAACTCTTAATCTTCCCGCCTTGTCACCGCTTGCATCACCTCCCGCTGTTCAACGTCACTGATTTTGCGGAGTGCCAGAGAACCCCCGACTCGTACTTTTCAGGTAACGAGACTCAAATGCGCTTTTATACGGACTACGTCCAGACCCGACCTTGACTTGCCCCAATTTGCTCCTCGACTGCTCGCTGTCTCCTGAAAACGCGAACATACCACCAATCGGCGGAGCCTCCCTTTGCGGATTTGCCCACATGTTATCCTTACCCTGGAGAAGCCGCATGAACTCCTACTCCAATCTGCAGGGTCCAGTTGTCGCAAGGAATGCAAGCTCAAAGGACAAAAGCCGAGCTTCAGCAACATAAAGCAAAAGTAGGACTACAATTGATGCATGTTGGCGTGTCTCGCAAGCAATGGGCTGACTGGGGATCGCGAACAGCTTGCCAACTCCTACTCGGAGTTACTCGAGTAAGATCTTAGATTTGCTATTCGTCGAGACATCCAAAGTCTGCGCTGACACTCCCCAACTAGCCAATTCGCCTCGAAAGAACTCAAGACTGTCGGAAACTACTCGTTAGGGAAACTCATTGGAAAAGGCTCCTTCGGCAAGGTCTATCTTGCCAAACACAATTTGACAAATGGCTCCAAGGTCAGTTCTGGCACGGTCGACACCCGGCTGTCCCAAGCCGCAGCTGCTGACCAGAACTGCAAAACCAGGTGGTGCTCAAGGCCTCGAAGAAGGACGACCCAAACCTCGCGAGAGAAATTCACCACCATCGACAATTCATTCATCCTCATATCGCTCGACTTTACGAAGTTATAATAACGGAATCTCTGGTGTGGCTAGTTTTGGAATATTGTCCGGGTATGAAGATGCGAGTGCAACGATCTTGACAAGTTGTGCCGACTAATAGCGTGCCAGGTGACGAGTTGTACAATTATCTATGCAAGAATGGGCCACTTCCCGTCGAGACTGTACAGAAGATCTTCACTCAGCTGGTCGGAGCGGTTTCATATATTCACAGTAAATCATGTGTTCATCGAGATTTGAAGCTGGAGAACGTCCTTCTCGACAAGAACGATAACGTTAAACTCTGCGATTTTGGCTTCACCAGGGAGTACGAGGGCAAAGCGAATTATCTGCAAACATTTTGTGGCACTGTGTGTTATAGTGCACCCGAAATGCTGAAAGGAGAGAAATATGCGGGCGAGAAGGTCGACGTCTGGAGTTTGGGCATCATTCTTTACGCGCTGTTGAAAGGGGAACTGCCCTTCGATGAAGACGACGATGCTGCCACAAAGGCCAAGATATTAAAAGACGATCCGGTCTATCCCGACACTTTTCCGGAAGCCGCAAAGATGTTAGTTTCCAAACTGCTCTCGAAGCGGCCTCTGCACAGACCAACCTTGTCAGATATTCTGGCAGACCCTTTTCTGTCGGACCATGCACCTCATCAGCAAGCGATTCTGAAACTTTCACAGCCAGCGGCATTCACCACCCAGTTAGAAAAGGAGACGCTTGAACGAATGAAGTCTGCGGGTGTGGATATTGACAAAGTCATCGAGAACGTACTTGCGCAACGTTGTGACGCGCTGGCTGGATGGTGGGCATTACTCATTGAGAAAGAAACAAGGAAGCAAGCTCGAAGAGAACGCAAACGGAAGGAAAGAGAAGCCGAGTTGAAGATCCTTAGGCGGTTGAGCGGTGCTAGTAGCAGATTAGAGAGGATTGCACCCACTCTGGTTGAGGTCGACGAAGAGCATTCTCCTGGTGAGACCGAGGGCCGTCGGAGTAGCAGTCGAGGCAGGACACAGCGAAGGAGTACGCCTCAGATATTGGTCGGGGACTTGCCTCAACTTCCCGAAGGCGATGTCATAAAGTCTCCCGAGGCTGAAACACCACCGCCACCACCGATCGATAAAGACTCTGTGCGCTCTCGGAGCGGCTCTCGACCTCCCATACCACCCAAGGAACGCAAACGCCGGAGCAGCACGCTACAGCTCGTGACGACGAATCCCGAGTTACTGGGTCCCATGAATGGAGTGAACAAGAGACGAAGTGGGAGGTTCCGCAATCGACAATTTCTAAGCCAGCTCACAGCATTGAAGCAGTGGATAGTCGACTCCACGAAGCGAGCTAGGTCACCAGTCAACACCAGGGTGGTGGACAAAATCTTGAATGGGCATTCCAGCAATGACTCAAAAGCGACCCTTTCGAAAGATTCTAATCAAATGAACAAGATCACCAGAAATGTGGCTGACGCGGCAAATCCCAACAGATCCTCGAACGGGTCTGCGCTGACCCCTGCCACCTCCAACTTCAAGCCTCTTCCTTCTGCGACAAACCCAGCGCCTCGGATTGATACAGCCCGTGCGAGACCTCATCGCAACTCTCTCTCGCCCTCGCCCGTAACTCCGCGCTCCTCGTACCGACGCAGTTCCACAGGCCTACGGAGCCGGAAATCGACATCCTCATCCGTCTCATCGATCCGCAGCATGCCCCGACATAACGCCTCTCACAGCAAAGCCTCTTCCCAAAGTTCTAACAGTCTCGACACGATTCACAGCCCCACCAGCCGTACGGTTAGTCTCAACGGCCGCTCACCTCACCCCTCAATAAAAGTCCTCCCAGTGACACCGACAGCCAATGCTTTCCCTTCGAATATCCGTCTAGTCCGAACCCCTAGAGGCTCAGATGCCGGCCTTCAACCCCGCCCGCTTTCTGGGATCGGCAATGACATCCTCAATCATCCACCGGGTACACCGCAAGGCCACGGCTTCGGCTCAAATGTCATGTTCGCTCGACGGAAGAAGTCACCTTTCAAAGGCCCTATGCTTAACTCAGCCTTTTTCTCCGCATCAACGCTCCCCGCGGCATTCGGAAGCCCTGCTATTGTTGGCGCTGGGAGAAACCGTGAGGGTTCGGACGGGAAGCTCAACTTGGGCCTGAAGGATTTTATGAGCGGAGGTGGCAGAAGAGGCAGCAGTTCGAAGAGGAAAAATCAGATCATCGAGGAAGAGGAAGAAGATGAACATGCTGTCATCGGTGAAGAAGACGAGGAGGACGTCGAAGAAGTAGACGCATTCCAGGCGGTTCACTTGAACAAGGGCGAAAGATTGGACAGTATTACGATTTGGAGTGATGCTGTTCCGGAAGGTGCTGCTGAAGATGATGATGGGGACGACTACAGACGAAAGGAAGGTGTCGGAATTTACAGCTGACGATGACTGCGAAGAGCGTTGCTTGCGTCTGATTGGCACTGTCCTTTGACGGGCGGAAGGAGTAGCCAAATTAAAAGGGTTATGAATATGCTTTGGGGGAATATGATATCTCTATTTCGAGTGCTTTGAGTGAACAGATGGATTGGACAGAGTCATGGCGAGGATGGGATGGGCCCGTTTGAAGCTGGAGTTTTCCTTGTTCGACGAAGGTACAGTAATGGATACGAAATGGCTTGTTGATATAAGGGTGTGGGTCTCACGCTCTTAATTTTCTTGTACGATATGGTAATGAATCACCTAACTAGAATACTTCTTTGGATTGAGTGGTCTTGACGAATGCTTTCCCCTCGAGCTTGAACTTCAGGGGGCCTTCAGGTCACTGATGACTTTGTCACTGATCTGCACCCCTTGACTATGGGGACTAAGCCGTATTATCACTAGTTCCCACTTTTCCGGAAAATTGATTCGCCGAGAATTTGGCCCCCCAAGGCGCTCAACCCGGTCTTATTCCGACTTTACTAGGCTCGACAACTTCGCTTCCACCATAGACTTCTATCGCCATTCCGATCTTTTCCTGCTCAAGAGGTTAACCCTCCCTTCCGTGAAACTACTGGCTTCAAACGGCTCGCGTTCTTTTCTTATTCCAAAACTTTCGTCTGGCTAAGGGCCGGTGAAAGATTCAAGCCAGCGCAACATACGCCAGGATGGCGGATACAATGGTGAACGGCCACCACGAAGTTGAAATGCCAGCACCTCCTGTTGACCCTGTTTCAAGACCACAGACACCGCCGCCTCCCCCGTTCGCTGAAAATGAACCTCCTCCGCCCCCGCTAGACGCAAGATTTGCGCCGCCACCTCCGCCTACAGATCCAAGCGTCCCCCCACCCCCGCCTGAGCAGGTGCCGCCTCCTCCTAGCGACGAGCCAGACGCTACAACAAGTGCCGTCAAGCCACAGCTGCCGAAGAAGAAAGGATGGGGCTCGACTAAGGTAGCGAAGACGACACCGCTGAGTGTCGAGGAACTTCTGAAGAAGAAGAGAGAGGCTGATCTTGCGGCCAGTAAGCCGAAGTTCCTCTCTAGGGCAGAGCGTGAAAAACTCGCATTGGAGAAGCGGCAGAAGGAGGTTGAGGCGGCTTCTGCCCATAAACACCAGAACGGGGTAGCACGGAACGGCTCATCTGCGACACCGGAACCGTCCAAGCCAAGTGTGGCACCGACTGGACCGAAAGCCCTCCGTAATGGAGATGTTCCCACCGGTCCTGCTGCGATGCGGTCACGAGAACCCAACAGAGGCGTCGATTTCACCCCCCCTGCGGCACCCAAGCCAACGGCGTTCGGCGGCGATTCTAAAGCATCTAAAGCACAAAAAAGAGGAGCGGAGGACGATCGGACTGAAAAGACAGAATCGGAAATTATCCGGCAGAGGTATATGGGTGCTGATATGAACGTATCGACATTCTCCGCTATGAAGAAGCGACGGCGTACCACAGAGAAGAAATTCAACTTTGAATGGAATGCCGAGGAGGACACCACACCGGACTACAATCCCATCTACAACAATCGCGCCGAGGTCAGTTTCTTTGGAAGAGGCCGGCTGGGTGGGTTTGACGAACAAGCGGCCGATGCAGCTGCACGAAAGTATGCAGCCGCGTTGCAATCGAGAGACACGGTTGCCGGAGCAGCTCGCGCTCAAGAGATTCTCGAAATGGAGCGCAAGAGGAAAGAAGAATCTGGCCGGATGTCTATTGACAAACATTGGAGTGAGAAGAAACTGGAGCACATGCGCGAACGAGACTGGCGCATTTTCAAGGAGGATTTCAATATCAGCACCAAAGGCGGAGGCATCCCCAACCCAATGCGCAATTGGAAAGAATCTGGACTTCCGAGAAAGCTGTTGGAAATCATCGACCAAGTAGGATATGTCGATCCTTCACCCATTCAAAGGGCCGCTATCCCCATCGCCCTCCAAAACCGCGACCTCATCGGCGTCGCCGTAACAGGTTCAGGAAAAACTGCAGCCTTCCTCCTCCCTTTACTCGTCTACATTGCCGAACTTCCTCGCCTAGATGAAGACGATATGCGCCGCAACAACGGCCCCTATGCCATCATCCTTGCTCCGACCCGCGAACTGGCACAACAGATCGAAATTGAGGCTAAAAAGTTCGCCACACCACTAGGGTTCACGGTCGTGTCGATAGTAGGAGGTCACAGTATCGAGGAACAAGCTTACAATCTTCGCAACGGTGCAGAAATTATCATCGCCACGCCAGGTCGTCTGGTGGATTGTATCGATCGTCGCATTATCGTGCTGGAACAATGCTGCTACGTGATTATGGATGAGGCAGACCGCATGATCGACCTAGGGTTTGAAGAGCCCGTGAATAAAATCCTCGACGCCCTGCCTGTCAGCAATGAGAAACCCGACAGCGAAGCCGCCGAAGACGGGAGAGCCATGTCCCGGCACATTGGCGGAAAAGACCGATATCGCCAGACAATGATGTACACCGCAACCATGCCCGCCGCCGTCGAGAGGATTGCACGAAAATACCTAAGAAGACCTGCGATCGTAACGATCGGTAATGTGGGCGAAGCAGTCGACACTGTCGAGCAACGGGTGGAATTCGTTGCCGGCGAAGATAAACGCAAGAAGAGACTGAACGAAATCCTTTCCAGTGGGGAATTCCGTCCACCGATCATTGTCTTTGTGAATATCAAGAGGAATTGCGACGCCGTTGCCAGGGACATCAAATCGATGGGCTTTAGCAGCGTCACATTGCACGGATCCAAGACGCAGGAACAACGTGAGGCAGCTCTGCAATCAGTCCGGGACGGCAAAACCGATGTCCTTGTGGCCACTGACCTTGCAGGTCGTGGTATTGACGTCCCCGACGTGAGCTTGGTGGTGAATTTCAACATGGCGACCAACATTGAATCCTACACGCACCGCATCGGGCGTACCGGACGAGCAGGCAAATCTGGCGTGGCCATCACCTTCTTGGGCAATGAGGATAACGACGTGCTCTATGATTTGAAGCAGATGCTGATGAAGAGTTCGATCAGCAGGGTGCCGGAGGAGCTCAGGAAGCATGAGGCGGCGCAGCAGAAGAGGGGCGCTGGGTTGGCAGGAGGCGATAAGATGAAGGGTGGAAAGTCGGCCGGTGATGAAAGTGGCGGGTTTGGAGGGAAGGGCGGCGGTGGCTGGTAGACTGACGAACGGAGGCAGGTTGATGGGTTGATCAAAGTAGATTCCCTCCTCCCAGCCAGAAAGCAATGATAAATTGCTGCTGTCGGAACAAGGAGAAGAGCTCTTGACTATATGTGCCTTGTATGAGAGACTAGCAGGGGAGAATGAATGCTACATGCGCATTTGTCCAGCGCTACCTCACACGAAGGAATACCAGTATACTGCGACATACTGCATACAACCTAGCGCTCCGCTCCTTTTCAAATCCGCTGCCAGCAATCAATTTAGTTAGTCAGTCAGTCAGTCATGGAGTCTTCATTCCAATAATACCACCTACTGGGTAGTTTGTCAAATCCAAAGATCCAGAGATTCAACTAACTCGACATCCACAGGCCGGAACCGAAGCCAAAAAAAAGGGTAGAGTCCAAAACTCCAAACTCCTACCACATCGTGTCACATTATATCGAATCACCAAGCATCGCCCAGGTGAAGATCAATCAAATCGGGCTCCTCCTCAAAGCACCCACGCGCTTAATAGGCGTCGTGTGCATCATTGCCTCCTGCATCTCTGGCGGGATGGCCGCTCTGGGCACTATTTGCTCCCACCCAGCTGTCGCGTCGACAGTGCCTTTTTCTTCCGGCTGTGATCGATGGAGCGGGTGGTGAGAAGACACCTTGCCTGATATCGACAGGGATTGTTTGAAGTTTTCTTTCTCGGAGGATGGATGGTGCTGATCTTGATGGTGCTGGAACAAAGGCTGAGGGTTGATCTTTTCGAGACGCTGCTTGGGGACTGGGAGAGCTTTCTTTTGTAGTGGGTTGGTGCGTTTCGGAGCCAGAGGGGATCGCTTGGGTGCCGCTGGAGCCGAAGCTGGAGCCAAAGTTGAAGGTCCTGCTGTTGTCTTTGGGGAATCAACAGGCTTGGGGACCGAAGCAATCATAACTTCCTCTTTCTTCGTCTCTTGTCTCACCTTATCCTGCCCGCACAACCATTCTTCGAGGCCGTGGATTGCGCCGACAAACGCCCCCTCGCCCAGGACTCTACTCTCAGCCTCCCTTCCCAACGCGTGTTGCACTTTCCTACCCTTCCCACCACTCAGCAATTCCACCGAACGTCCATAAACTGCATGTGCAGTTACGCTAGTTGAAGCGACAATATCGCCATCATTCAGAACCGCGACAGTTATTGCAAACTCGATGTCAATCCGTCCATGTTCGGGGGTGATCAGCATGAGTTTGACTCCGAGTTTCTCGTCGCTTAGAATTGAGACCGTCGCGATGCCCACGAGATTCAGAAGCCGAAGTTCTTCAGAGATCTTGCATGCAAGATCCCAGCCCTGAGAAACAGTTGACAACATGGTTCTAGGTGATACTGATCGCTTTGGCATCATTGCATACGCATGGAGTTGGCTTCTGACCAATTGCAAGAAGAAGCGCTTCTCGGTGGGTGGCTCTGACGGGTTTGCATCGGAGTCTTCTAGGTCCGCGGGAGCGTAAGTCAAGCTGATAGGTGCATTTGGACCACTTGTCGATGCTGATCTCCTCCCTGACCTGCGCCGCGGTGCATCTGAAGCCTTATATTGGAAAGCCTGAGGGTAAAAGAAGAGTCGCAAGTGATCCTTGTAGATCATAGTGAGAGCGGGACCAGACTCGGTTGGTCCATCAATATCTTCTTCTGCAGTAATTAATCGCCAGCCAGTCTGCTTCTCAATGGCATCAACCTTTGACCTGAGGCTCAGGACATCGGCAACGGGCCAACCTTTGTTTTCTTCCCTTACTCGATCTGCTTCCGTAATCTGATCTTTCATCTCGCTC